GATTTTCCTTCTATTACTTTCTATAAGGCTGGATTTGTGGCTACGTATTATTTAAATTTGTTCTTATCCTGGAATATTTTGTTTTCTCCATCGATAGTGAATGATAGCTTAGCTGGGTATAGTAGTCTGGGCTTGCATCCATGGTCTCTTAGATTCTGAAGTACCTCTATCCAGGACCTTCTGGCTTTCGTGGTTTCCATAGAGAATTCTGGTGTAAGTCTGTTAGGTTTGCCTTTATATGTTTCTTGACCTTTTTTCTTTGCAGCTCTTAATATTCTCTCTTTAATCAGTATGTTTTGTGTTTTGATTATTATATGGCGAGGAAATTTTTTTTTGATCCTGTGTATTTCGTGTTCTGTATGCTTCTTGAATATTCATAGGAATATCTTTCTTTATGTTGGAAAAGTTTTCTTCCTTAATTTTGTTAAATATATTTTCTCGGCCTTTGAGCTGTAATTCTTCTCCTTCTTCTATCCCTATTATTCTTAGGTTTGGTCTTTTTATTGTGTCCCATATGTTTTCTGTTAAGAATTTGTTGGATTTTTTTTGCTCTTTAATCAGTGAGTTTATTTCCTCTATAATATCTTCAGTGTCTGAGATTTTTTTCTTCTATCCCTTGTATTCTCTTTGTTATGCTTTTTTCTGTAGTCTCTGTTCGTTTACCTACATTTTCCATATCCAGCCAGCCCTCTGTTTGTGTTTTCTTCCTTTCCTTTATTTCAGTTTTCTATTCTTGAAATGTTTTCATTACCTGTTTGATTGTCTTTTCTTGGATTCCCAGGGTATCCTTTATGTATTTATTCATTTCTTCAAACTTTTTGTTATACTTCTTATCCATTTCTATAAGCGTGTTTTTTACATGATGTTTAAAGGACTCGATGGCTTTCATAATGCCAATTTTTTCCACTTCTTCTGGATTAGGGTGTTCAAGACCTTCTGTTGTAAGATCACTGGGCTCTGGTGTTTTCATGTTGTTTTTCAGATTGGTGGAGGAATTCTTGCCTTTGTGCCTGCCCATCTCTTCCTTCAGATGCTATCCAATGGATCTTATGAAACAGGATCAGGTTCCCTTGCTGGCCAGGGACCTCACTGACACAAGGCCTATCTTGCTGCAGACAGGCTATTGAAGCAAAGAAACTCCTGCCTGCCCTGTTGCCCTCAGCACCCTGTCCTAGTGCCCAAACAGGCTGAACTGGAAGATCTTGTGGCCCTAAGGAAGGCAGGAAGAAGGGAGGAGGTTCCTGGGTTTAAGCTGGCATGGGTTAGGGAGAGAGAGGCCTTAGCAGAGGGGAGGGTTCCCCCCCCCCCGCTGCTGAATGACCAGGGAGTTAAGGGCATGAGGCTTTATTTTAAAGTCCATTTCTTTTATTTTTTATTTCTGGATTTTTGGACAGGTTTTCTTCATATCTTTGTCCTGGAACTCCCTCTGTAGGCCAGGCTGTCCTGGAACACAGACCACAGCTTTTCTCTACCTCCCCAGTGTTGGGATTAAAGTTGTGTGCTACTACACCTTGAACTCACAGAGCTCTCTCTGCCTCTGTCTTGCAGGCATGGGAATTAAAGGTGTGTACCACTACTGTCATTCTTTCTTTTTTTTAGGGACTTAAACTTTTTTCTTTTCTCTCCAAAGCCTCCATATATTTTTAAACACACTGTAAGCTATTTAGAGGTTTTCTATCTCTTTGAATCTGTCTTTACTGTATAATGCTCTTTTTCTGACCACATGAGTCTTTAATTTGCTAAGCAATAAGGAAAGGATTAAGGCTGTGGTTTTGATGGCTAGATCCAGCCCATTCCTTAATTTTTTGAGATTCCAGCCTCATGGCAGAGGTACTGGCTGTAGCCATGTTTAATGCCACAGCTCTATGGCATTTTAAGGACCTTGCCAGCAAGAAAACTGCATCAGTGTGCTCAAAAACCTCATTCAAATGCTCTGTAGCTGGACTTTCTTTCTGAAAGATTCAGAGTTAGCACTAGCAGGATGGATCAGAAAGCCAGCATTTTAAAATGGTGTGACTTTTTTTTTTTTGCTATGGCTGAAAACCAAAAAGCATGCAGTCAGCTTTTCATCAAAATCAATTATGTATTTTGTGGCAGGACCTCTTACAACAGCTGCAAGGTATTACAGGTAAAGCTGAGTCAGGACACCTCTCTTAAATGAGAGTGCTTGCCTCTAGAAAGCAGAGCCCACACAAGAGAGTGCTGCTACCAATAAGCCATGCTTGACTCTATTATTTTATGTCTGGAATTACTTCCCAAGCTCTCTCAGGTTTTATGTGGATGTAGTTGTCCACATGTTGAGCATTATTCTGCTGTCTGAGATTTTCTGTCCTGCCCAGTTCCTGCAGTTTTTAAGTCCCAAAGGAATTTAAACAAAGATCTACATTAACTATAAACTGATTGATCTAGTAGATCTGACATTTTATTAAGTCTTATGACATATATTAGCCCATTATTCATTTCATTTCTATGTTAGTCACATTATTTGGTTCCTTATTTGGCAAGGCAGTCACATCTTGCTTCCTCTGTGGCTGGGTCATGATTACAGACTAGGACTTCCTTCTTCCCAGAATTCTCCTTTCTCATTGACCTACCTCTATTTCCTGTCTGGATGTTCTGCCTATACTTCCTGCCTGGTTACTGGCCAATAAGTGTTTTTTAAAAGTATAATTGACAGAATACAGACCATTGTCCCACAGCAGCATCTGATATTCAGATCAAGGATCAATGACTCAGACATCACTGCAGAGACCACAATACTTATTTGCAAGTGAATCTGTGTAAGTAAGAAGTCTATGCAGGAAACAATGGAGAGAGAAATATATCTACATGTTGAAATTAAAATCCTGTAAACTTTTAAAATGAGTTTAATAACCTTGCTAGAGGTAGCATATTTTATTTTAGCCAAATACAATTTGATTACTCACTATCAATCTGAAAAGATCAGAATAGATTCTAAGATCTAAAAACCACATTTTTATTTGATAGCATTCTCAGAAAGGACGTGAGGCTCAGGGACACCTTAAGCAGTGGTTAGCTAGAAACATTCTATAGGCTCCTGAACCTCAGCTGCTGTCTCTAGCCGCATTACTTCCATGGTCTGAGTACAAGAACATACCCAGGATCAATGATGAAATTGATGTTCATGTTATATGTGATGATAGAGGGAGTAGAGGAAATCAATATTAAATACCAGGGTATTCCTACATGATCTGTTGGCTCTTACTGAAATCCTAAATTCTGTTCTAACTGGAGAATTAACTGGAGATCAGTTGTGAATCTAGGGACCCCACTCCCAAATGTTCCCTGATTCTCTTCATTATTGATCCTGGTGCACACAGCACAGCTAGGTCTGCCTGTGTGATGTTATCTATCTTGTTCAGATGAGATTGCAAATTATATAGAAAAATAAATATCACAGTAGAAAATAGGACTTCAAAAATATTCAGATTTATTAAAGATTAGTACGGACTAAATTCTAGACTAGTGCAATGAGAAACATGACTTTGATGCACATCGCAAGCCAAGAAACAGAGAAGACATCTCTTCTTGGGCTTGTGCAACTGTTTTGATTCAGCACTCTGAAATGATTTGTGCTAGTGCTGGTGAGTCCCTGTTGGCCCTTAGTACCACTTGCTCATCCCAAGGTCTCTGTAGGAAGGTTTTTACAGTTTCACACAAGAGTTCCATCACTGTGTCTCTGGTAGAGTAATATATGGCTGTGCCCTCTGTTTTCAGACTGTTCAGTTTTAAGGAAGCTTGGAGGTGTCCCTGCTGATGGTGACTTACATTTTGAGAACAGAATTATAATCAGTGTTTTCATTATACCATATTATTTCTATTAATTCCAGACCCTATCTTGGAGTCTGATTGACCCAGTGCACTTGACAACTGGTTAAGGAGAACACAGGAACAGTGCAGGTGAGAGACAACGTCTGGGTCAGTTATGGATGAAACATGTCAGGTTCTGACTCCTTCACCTGGATTTGGGACAGTACACCTGGGGACAAGCAACATCATCATCATTCATATATTCCACACATGGTGGACCTGGGTTTCTCTCCTAAAACCCTGAAACATTTCCAGGTTGGAAAGGTCATGAGGCAGAGGAGCAGCACCAGGACAGTCATGCTCTGCTGGAGGCTCCAGTGAGAGGATATGGGGCTCCTGATATTGAATAATAAATACTGTTGTCGAAACCTCAAATTACCATTTGAATCAAGGTCTCATATAAACTACACAAGAACTAGACCATTGGGCTAAATCACAGAATTGGATGAGAACTTTTAAAAAATACACTGTTTTAATTAGGGGCATTTACTTCTGTGTGGGTAGTGTAGTGCTCATGGAGACAAACAAATGGCACAGAGTCCTCTAGACTCACATGTGGTTCTGAGCTTCCTCTGTCATCTAGGGTTTCAATCTGTTTTGGCTTCTTTAGGAACTGATGCTGGTCAAAAGAATCACTCTAGCTCAGTATGATGATCTGCATTTTGTTCAGGTAAAGTACATCCTAAAATTTAGAAGCAACTATAACAGTGCTGGGAAAATCAAGTTGTTGACACACAATAACCCTTCAGTTGTTCTAAACACAGAACTCAGAATCCATAACTAAAAAAGAAAGAAAAAAGTAGGTGTTGCAGCAAACCAGGTATACCATATAGGGAATGTGAAGATTGAACAATCACTGGGAATAACTGGAAAATCAGACAATCCAGTCATTGAGATCCAGGCCCAAGGATAGAATTTGTCTCAAAATAAGTGTTACAGATTGTTAGAGAAAGGCTTCATATGTCAACACACACGCACACGCACACGCACACACACACACACACACACACACACACACACACGGAGAGGAGTGAGAGAGATTGAGAAAGAGACAGGTAGACAGAGAGATAAAGGGTAACAGGAAGAAAAACTGTAATAAATAATCACACACATCACAACAGGAAACAGAAATTCAAATTAACATTTGGACCTTCAAGGATTACTTCACACTATATCTGTAGAGAAAATCCCTAAACGTGATATGGAGAGGCAGTGCAGACACAAAGATGTCAGGTCTTCCGTGTTTCTCTGAGCCGGCTCTTCTCTGACTCTGATTTCTAAGTACTTTCAGCGCCCCCTGCTGGTCATGTGTTCCCCACAGCGGTGTTTTTGTCTGAGCTCAGAGTAGCATTCACTCACTGTGTCTGCTGCACAGTAATAGATGGCTGTGTCTTCAGACCTCAGACTGCTCATTTCCAGGTACAGAGTGTTCTTGGCATTGTCTCTGGAGATTGTGAACCGGCCCTTCACAGCGTTGGCATAGAAGATTTTGCTACCACTCTCACTAATGGATGCTACCCACTCCAGCCCCTTCCCTGGAGCCTGGCGGACCCAGTGCATGGCATAGTCACCAAAAGTAAATCCAGAGGCTGCACAGGAGAGTTTCAGGAACTTTCCAGGCTGCACTAATCCTCCCCCAGACTCCAGCAATTGCACCTCACCCTGTCCACCTGTAAACAGAAAGAATTCTGGTTAGAAAACTGACACAAAAGATTTTTTTTCTCTTATGTCCACACAACACACAGTGTCACATCTTTATGAATTACCTTTTAAAATAAGGACAAAGGAAACCAATATGAGCCCTAAGGCCATGATGTGTGGCCTCTGTTCAGTGCTGAACCCTGACTGGGAGGCCTTGAGAATTCAGGGCTTGTCTCCTCTGCCACAGCTGCAGGGTCAAGGCAGGGCTGGTTTTTATGAGCACAAAGAAGACTTATTTACATATCTTCCTGCCATAACAGACTCTGTAGTTGGATCTGGGCAGGAAGCAGTAATCAGAGCAGATATAAGACATCATACACACTGGTGACTGTTATAGAAATTGAAGCATTAATGTAGCTCGGTGTACACATTTTTCTTGTTAGGAATTCACCACACATATTTAGTTCTCTTTTCACCATATTCATGGGAAATGTGCTTCCACACTGTCATGACTCTTGGATCGATGTGAAATTTAAAAGCTCTACACACAAATGTAAGCAATCTACAAAAATATCTTGATCTGCAGTAGAAATGTACATTGTAATATAATAAATATATCCTAAAATTGTATCAACATACAAAAATGTTTTAAGCAGAGGTAGAACCATGCATGCACACAATATGACAAAATAACTTTGCCTAGATATACAACTATTATAGATAAAAATAGGAACATATTTAATATAATTTAATTTTGTATCAATATACAAGAATCTATACCAATATAATTTGCCTACAAATAATAGCTCACAAGTATTCACTCTATTAATCACTATTATTATTAGTCTGAGTAAGCTCACACATCGATTATCCCCTTTAATTTCCCCCTTTTTTTCAAAGAGGTCCCTTAGTCTAAAAAATGTTTTCCCCAACCCCAAATCCTATTCTATTTATAATCAACTGCTAAATGCTGTCCCTAACCCAGAGAACAAACTTTGTTGGGAAAGGGGCTGTTGTCTTCTAGAATTACTTCCAGCTGTCATGGAGGTGATACACTTTCTATGGGATTCTGTGAAAGTAAAATGATGGATAAGTTCCAAGATTACTTACTGTCTGGTATAATTGCAAATAGTCTCTGAGTTTTCAGTAGGGTTTTTCTGAGGTTCCTATTGGGAGTTCTGGGCATAATGTTGTAAAAAAGTACACCGCTTCATCTAACCAAGTTGGAGCCATCTTGAGCAGCTGGTACCCAAAGCAGGTCTTATAGTAGTACTATCAGCATCATGACGTCATATCAACTAGGTTGATTTGTTGTGGGGCCCCATCTTCTTCATGGAAACTTCAAAGATTACTGAAGGAAAATTCATTTGCTCATTGTGGAAAAGTTAAACAATATTTATATAGACATATTCAGACATTTATATTCAAATATAGAGACAAAAATAGGTGTGAAGAAGGGTAAAACTTTCTCTAAACTCTTTCTTCTTTCTGTCTCTTACCAGATGGTTCTTGACATGAGACAGAAACTCTTAATTTTTCTTTTAATAACTTGCTTGGACTTAGAGAAGGACAGAGCAATTGTCCAACTCCAAAGCCATATATATATATATATATATATATATATATATATATATATATTCATATGTGTGTGTGTGTGCTTAAATGTCTGTGTTTTGATCACCTGTCCTTACAAGTCATATTCCTTTTTCTTGATGATCCTTATTGGATAGTTATTTTTCTTTCTGTCAGCATCCAAACAGCCAGGGTTTCTTGAATTTTTAAGATGTGTATTTTCCTGTAAAGACAATAGAAGAATCCTGCCCCAAACCTTATAATGTTTTCTTACCACCTGTATGATTATCACCTCTGTGGATGAGCTGCCATTTCTCTTTCTCAAGAGGTTTCTCTTTTTTAAAACTGAATCTTTATTAATTTTTATGGTATACACAGCTTTTCTTTTCCTGTGGAAACAAGAGCAAAACCCCTTTCCCATCATAGCACATCTCCTTGTTTCCATTGTGAGGTCAACACATCCTTGAAATATATTGGCTGTTTTAGTTCAGATGACTTTTTTATTATCCAACATGTCTCTGCTGCTGTTGTTCCTCTCTCATTAGAGTTAAGAAAATTCAATATATAGCTGGGTGTTGGTGGTGCACGCCTTTAATCCCAGCACTCAGGAGGCAGAGGCAGGTGAATCTCTGAGAGTTTGAGGCCAGCCTGGTCTACAAGAGCTAGTTCCGGGACAGGCACCAAAGCCACAGAGAAACTCTGTCTTGAAAAACAAAAACAAACAAAAAAATCAATATAAATAAAGCATTATGCAATCTATTCCTGGGGGTATTTTCCACCCTTTCTGTTTGTTTAACATATCCTTTATAGTTCGATTTAATCTTTCTACAACTGCTTGACCTGTAGGATTGTGTAGTATACCTGTAATATGCTTAATATAATCAGCAAAAAACTGTTTCATTTTCTTAGAGACATATGCTGGACCATTATCTGTCTTTATTTGTGCAGGTATACTCCTTTTGGCCATAACATTTAATAAATGTGTGATTACTGAATCAAACTTTTCTTAGCTCAAAGCAGTTGCCCACAGTAAACCTGAATAAGTGTCAATGGCATGGTATAAATATTTTAATTTTCCAAATTCTGCAAAGTGGAACACACCCATCTGCCAGATTTTATTACTTTGAGAACCCTTTGGGTTAGTCATTGCAGGTAGAAGTGTTTGATTGTAGAAAGAGCACGTAGAACATATCGTTATAATCTCCTTAGCTTGTTGCCATGTAATAGAAAACTCTTTAAACCTTTGCTATTGACATAATGTTTCTTGGGGAATTCTGAAGCCTTAACACACTTCCCATCAATAATTGATCAATTTCTACATTACTTTGTGCTAGAGGACCTGGCAGACGTGAATGGGATTGGATGTGATATATATCAGCTGGGTCTATACCTGCTATCATCTGGGTGCCAGATGAAGAAGGAAGCATAAAAGAAATCCCATACTAGCTCAGAATTGAGTATCATAAAGCGTTATTTTTTGGGGGGTAGACTCACAGATCACAATCCTATGCTGGAACTGGGAACAGCAACCAAATCCTGCAGCTAGGAAAAGAGTCCAGATGTGCTTTACATCAGCATAAATAGTATAAGAGGCCACGATCAAGTGGGTGGCTAACTTAAAGACTACTGATGGTAGAAATTCCTACAGCAAGAACACTTGAGACTTTTCTGAATTTTACTCAGTTCTCAGTGATGCTGCCTGATAGACTCAGGATGTTTGCAAATAAGTTGTTTCTTTTTGCTGTCTGCCTTCCTCTCAGTCATTGCTATGGAGACATATTTATATTTGCAGCACTCAATTGTTTGCATCCTGAATTTCTCCCTGTGATCGCTTTGTACTTCCCACTCTGCCTTTCTCTTTCCCATTTTGATACATGGCTGTCTTCATGCTGTCTTAGGTCAGTTTTTATTTCTGCATATTTATATAGTCAGCACAGTGAGGACATTTAATGAATTTTTGTAACAAAACACAAAACTTTTGCATCAATTTTGTATTTTCAGAAGGCACTGTTTTTATTTTCCCAAATTGTCATGCTTTATACCCACGCAGTCCCTTTCTCTCATTACACCCAACTTTTCCTTTCAAATCCCCTATATTACCCTTTGCTTTTTTCCTCTTACCTTTCACTTAAGATGTCTTTCCCTGTCTTGACTTCCATTCTAGTTCCAAGCCTACATAACGGAAGCCAGAACACCAAACACACAGAGTCTCAAACACACAATCTGAATTATCTCTTTAAGAAAGAAACTGTCCGCACGCCTTTAATCCCAGCACTCGGGAGGCAGAGGCAGGCGGATCTCTGTGAGTTCAAGACCAGCCTGGTCTACAGAGCTAGTTCCAGGACAGGCTCCAAAGCCACAGAGAAACCCTGTCTCAAAAAACCAATAAATAAATAAATGAAAGAAACTGTCCTTCCCAATCTTCAACATGTTGTGTGATGTAAGATTTCCAGTTCCATTCAAGTTCTTCCAAGACTCAGAGAACGCGGATGAAGACAGAGTGGGAAGAATGTAAGGAGTGGAACACAGCGAGAGGTGCTGTGAAATGCTGTCTTCTGGATATGTCATGGATATCACAATCATGGACTCATAATGGCTGCTGTTGTCTGTATGAACTCAACTAGGTTCAAACCAGCCAAAATCATGATATAGATAGGGCTGATAATTCCTTGACCCTATTTCTTTCTGAAAGAAGTTGGAAACTTATTTTTCTGGACAAGGGATATCGTCATGTTTTTTAGAGGGTACGGTCCCTGGTATATTTCCTATGTTGCAGTGTTTGGGTTCAAACACTTGCAGATATGGGAAACACTAACTGTGCTTAAATAATGATAAGATTGGTAGGGCCCCATGTTTGGAAGATGAGGGAGGAGCTGGATGGAAAAATATCACATGTAGATATCCCAAAGAATAAAGAAAAATAGTAAAAGCTGTATAACTGAGGCTCAAAACAATAAGTTCAGAAGCCAATTAAGGAACAGTGGTAAATATCAAATAACTTTGTAGGCAACTTTATCAGGGACCATCTTCACATCCAACTAAGAACTGGTGGGGTCCTTCACTTATTTCTAAAAAAATTTCATTAACAGATAATCTTATTCATGATTTGTAAAATATCTTTCCATATTTGGTTAGCTGTTACTGTTCTCTATGGTGAAAATATCACATCATCAATCAGAGTTAGGGGAAAAACATATGATTCTTGCCATATCCTTTCAGGGCTCATGCCACAGGAACAGTTATTCTGGTGTTAGATTATACACATGTGTCTTTTAGGTATCACCTTTTCTTTAAAATTATCTAGAATGAATCAGAGGATATAATGAAGAGGAGAATTTAAACGAAGTTGTGGTTTATCACAAGTTTAAAAATAGAGGGTGAATTAAAGATTATTCAAAATTCTTACAAAGCTGTTTTACAAAGTTTCATAATTTCAGACTCCTATCTATCTGTCTGTGTATCATCTATCTATCTATGTATCTATCTGTCTGTCTGTCTGTCTGTCTATTTGTCTATTTATCTATGTCTATCTATATAGATATAGATATAAATATAGATATAAACATAAATAATGTGCTGATTTGTTTGACAAGGAGAAA